CATAGATCCGCCATTACATACAAATAATATCAGGAGAGGAAAAAATCGAATCTAAACCTTGCTTACATGAATAAATGCTATATAAGATTTTAGTTTTCAACTTCGGGCAAATTCCCTCTTTTGCATACAATTCTCTCTCATGCTCCGTTTGGATGAAGAAATTGCAAATTACATAGAATTCCAAAGAATCAAGCTTGGCCAAGCTGCAGCTTACGGGCAAGTTGGTGCATCTTACAATCAACATCTAATGGCTCACACAAAGCGATAAAACTAACAAACAACTACAGAGCAAGGCGATAACACAAAGTGATAAAGCTAGCAAACAACTACAGAGCTGTACCATAAACACAAATCACACACCAATATCCATGGCCAAAGAGTATTTTGTCAAGACTTCCCAAAATCCAGCCATAGTGCTGCAAAGATCACAAAACTCATTCAACACATTCATAAATTTAGTCAGAAACACCCAATTTTGATAGCCATTCAAAAACCATGGTAACCCTAAAATAGAAAAATATAAATTGAAGGAGAGAAAGGCTTGAAGACTAACCTTCAAACTTGATCCAGAGATACGTGTAACCCAAGAAGAACTCCTTCTCCTTACTTCTCTAGCTCGCAACTTTTTATGATGCTCCTTACTTCTCTGGCTCGCAGCTTTTTTTATAAAGCGACAAAGCAATCTGTTGTCCAGGGTTTCATAGGTTTTTGGCGTTTTTTTTTAATTTTTATTTTTTCATTAAAAGTTTGGCTCTTTTTTTTTGTTGTTGTAAGTTTTGACACACTGGAAAATATGAATTCCTGCACTATGGAAATTGTGAAATGACGCCTATTTTGGGGGAAATTAAACTCCGGAATTTGATGCCTTAATTTCTATGATTTTTTTTGCTCGTCATTTAATAAATTCCGCACTTAAGTTGCCAAATAAGGGAATTGTCAATTTCTCCTATTAAATTCCCGACTTTTAGCTAAATTCCGAGTTATTTTCCTTATCCAAACAGAGAGTCAAAGTCCTTGTGCTTCTGTGTTTTGTCTCCCTGTTGGTGGGGCAAACACCTTGATAAGTTCATAAATTTACTCATTTATGTACTCTTTATACTTAGTTTTTATAGGAGAATTTGATTTAAAAAGGACTTATTACTTTATTTTCTCAATTTTTCAGCTTTCCAGAGCAAGTAATTTATTTTCAACGGAAATACAAACTTTTGGTGGAGTTTTAGTACGAGACCAATTGGAGATGAAAGCTAAGACCTTGAAGATGATTGTGGAATTTTGCTAGAATTTTTGGAGCGCCAATGAGAGCAGTCTTTGAAGTTAAGTCAGAATAAGGTGCAATCCCTTCAAACTGTGCTATTGTGGAAGAATGACTATTTGAAGACTTTCCTGATTTTTCCTCAAGGCGTGCGACATATGGCTGGAAAGATAAGACAAAAATCTACAATTTATATATTTTTCCTGAATTTTCTTGGAGGAGGAACAACCCAAACGTGCCTGCAAAGTAACTAACGTGTTATCCCAGTCCAAGTAGGAAGATGAGTCAATTACTTACCCATTTTGGATTTATGTTTTAATTAGGTTTTTCTTTTTTTGGGCTGCTATAAAAGCCCAGCTAGGGTAGAAATAGACGTGGGGTGTTTTATTTAAGCATGAGAAACAACTCCCTTGTGGGGACATGCAAAGACTAGGAGAAATTGGAGACGCCGGAAGAGTACCGCAATTGGCTAAGTTTTATTGTTTCTTATTTATGTTTTTGTTTATGTTGAATTCTATGATTATGTGTAGCTAATTTTATTTTGCTAGGGCATGATGTAGCCCTAGTATGATAATCTAGTTTTCTTATTTCACCTATCTATTGATTGCCGTTTGATGTTGGATTCTTAATCACTGTGCTTAATAACTTGGTTGATTATCTTGATGCTTGATCACCATCTAGACTTTTAATTGAGTTAATTGGATGCAAATTAGAGTAAATACCATACTTAATTTGAGGTTTGCTTCTTGTGATTAGGATTTGTAATTCGTCTAGGGTAAATACCATACTCCTAGGGTTTACATGCTTGTTCGAGGTTTTCACCGATCTTAATGAGTTTCTATGTGTTGATATTTGACCTAAATACCATAGGTGAATTGCATGTAGGAATATACGAGTTAGCCTAAATACCATAGGTAATTCATGAAAAAGGAAAACTAAGCGGCGACATCAAATGGTTAGTTAATAGGTAGGTGAATAAAAGGCTAGATTGGATTACTAGTGGTGAATTCATTGTCCTAGTGCTTTTATCAATTTGAATTTCTCATCTTGTGTTTCGTGACTTTCTACTTATTTTGTCTTTTAATTTCGTTGTTAATTAAATCATTCTTTCAAAAATCCCTTTCGTGTTTACGTGAGTATGCTATGTGTTTAATTTCTTGTCTATATAATTAGAGTAGTTAAACTATTTTGTGAAGTAAATTAGGTTAGACTAATTGGTAGTTGAAATCAATCCTCAGGGGAATGACTGTTGGAAGTTTGAATGAAATTCAAGAACCTTTGTTCCACATTGGTAGAAAGTAGAAAGAGTGAGGTCCTTATAAGTGTGGAAGTGCCACACTTAGTAAATGGAAGTAGGCCAAGTGGAAGCAATTTGGGCTTCAAAATCGATTTGGGCTTTGAATATTATATAAAAATATATAATATTTAATGGTAAAAAAGATGGGCCTTGGGCCTTGTGGGGCACTTGGGCACTTTTAGATTTAAAATTATTTTTTGGTTTCGAATTAATAATTTTTTTTTCGAATTAGTTTTATTAACTGTTTTCTAACAGTTGTGACTCTTCTGATAAGGTTTCAGAAGTTTATTTAAATCAAACAAGGCCTAATACGTTGAACACAGAAAAAAAGCATTCTACAAGCATTTCATATTGTCTGAGAGGAAAACAAACAACGTTCGCCAGATTCTAAGTCCGAGTGCTAGGGCTTAGAATACAGATAGTTGAATCCTGGGAGACAGTCACCTGTAGAACTTCAAGCACCGAGAAGGGGTGAAATTACTGTCTTTAGGACATTGCATCAAATCTGCAAGCCTCTATCTCAAATTCAAGTCAGTTTTATTTATTGTTTATATATTGTATTCTGTGTTACAGATTGTTATAAATTCTGTTTATATAATTGTTTTAATCAGTCATTGATTATTGTTTTTCCAACAATGACCTCGTATTTGCCATACTATATTACGATTGACCTTGTGCACTTGCGAGTATAATTTGTGTTTAGACTAATCTTTATAATCTCAATTTTTCAGGTTGTGTAAAATTCACAACACACCTCCTTCTCAATGGTCCTACATAAAACTTGAAATAAAAATAAAAATAAAAAACATGAAGGAAATTCCACTGCTAATTACTATAATTCCGAACTTGTGTGCACAAAAGTCTCAAGAGCTACATGTCGGTGGAATTGGACCTTGGCTGCTCAACCATAAAACTGGTCGTGCCAATTAATCCATTAACTTTACTTTGAATCTGCTCAACTATATAACCAACTGTAAACAGAATCATATTTTTTTTCGCCGTAATCAATCAATGTTCATTTAAAAATCCATAATTATATTAATTGGAAAAAATAATTTGAATCTGCATACGCAAGTATATGACTAAGGTTCGGTGCCTAATAACCTAATTGTTCATGATAATAAATTGTGACAACATATGAAAGACATAAAAGTCAAAACCTCCCCTCCCACCTCCAAGTAATTAAATTATATACGCATGGGGTTTGGCTTTGCCGTCAACTTTTATAGCTCCCAACCTCTAACGACCATGTTCCCATGGCCCGTACGATGTACATGGGGCCCTCTTGGAGGACAATAAGATCGCAGAGGGAAATTGGTCTTCCATTCATAACAACTTTGCATTCTCTTCAGTCGCTGTCTAATGTTGCAAAAGCTAGCTGATGTATAGCTGTATGTACTTCCTTAACAAGGTTTACAAAATGTCAAATTGTAAGTTGTATCTACTTCCTTAAAAAGGTACAATTAAACGCGTTGAGGGGTGATATATGTTGGCGAGTCCTTACTTAGTTAGGATTTTGGTTCCTTACTATGTTAGGATTTTAGTTACTTATCATTTATCTAGTCATATTATAATTGAGATTTATTTCCTATTATAATTTATTTTTATTTTCTATTGTAATTTAGATATATTTCCTATTTTATTTAGAGTTAACACATCTTTGTACTTGTATAAATACCTTCACATTGGAGAAGAATAATAATATGAGAATATCTGAATTTTTCCCCCTACTTTGTTTGACTTGGTATCAGAGCCAGGTTCTCTTGTGACATGTGCTTGCGTTATTTAGGGTTAACACATCTTTGTACTTGTATAAATACCTTCATATTGGAGAAGAATAATAATATGAGAATATCCGAATTTTTCCCCCTACTTTGTTTGACTATATATAATTAGAACACTCGTTCTGTTGTCATTTCGAACTACTTATAATAAGAGTTTGACTTTCGATTATCTCATTGTGTTACATCATAAATGTGATCAGGTATGTTAGGACTTAGGAGCACCGCCTACATGTCTAAATGCACAAGTATAGATCTCACTTTACTTATTGGTATGACCCTATAGATGAAAGACAGTAAGGTAATGGAAATAAAGATATTTCATATATGTAGAAGGTAAAATAGGAGTGCGGCTCTTAAATGCCAGTTTGAACTTGTCTTATTGAAAGAAATATTTTGATAAATGAATGTCTATATTCATCTCTATCTACACTATGAAAATGAACCAATAACAACAACAATTAGCAAACTCTCTTCTTCCTCATATCCTTAGAGATTAAAGAAGAGAAGCGTCTACCAAGATCATTCTTAGCATCAATCTTCATCCTTTGTCTTCTCTATCAACCACCATATCCTTACCTTCATATGCACAAGAAGATGAAAATATTTAATTTCCATATCATATACGGACAGGCTTGTTACGTGTTCAACCTTGTTACGTTGTGGATCATCAGGCATCAAGTTCACAATGAAAAACAGGTGAAGCAAACGAGTGTAAGTCACCAAAAATGATGTCATCTCCTTCGGCGTAGCTATTCAAGTCTTGGCAATCAAAATACGTTTGAATGTCATCGGGAAAACTCCGGCGTGGTATGTCTGGCTCTGAAAGTGTCGACGAGCAGTCTGTCGATGACGTTGAGGTTCTCTCAAGCATTTCCTTGAACTTAGGGGATTGTAGAAGAAGCCCTAATGCCGATGACGCTGAGGCACCATTTCCTGGCCGTGTCAAAGCTACCGCTGACTCGCTAGCGCTACTAGAACTCGAGTGGTAATTAGGAATGAACCCTAACCCTAATTTCGAATTAGGGTTTTGCGTTGGACCGAGTTCACCATTAAGGTTTGGTTGAGGGTTGTTAGGAACATTTTGATTATTTGGGCATAGTGACTTGATGTAACGGCTAAGGTCGAAGTTTGTGACAGCATTAAGTCCACGGTACTCTATTGCTGCCATGTCATATGCTGTTGCTGCTTCTTCTTGGGTAGCTGCCAAACACAAAATTGAAAACGATATTACAATTCAAAGTGTACGTAATTTGTGTGGGATCCCAAAGAGGAATATTAAATTCAAGAATTTAATTTGCTAGCCGATGTTGGTAGAAGGTTTGGATTTTTTATTATTTCGTTTTGAGAAAAGTTTGAATGAAATTTTGAATAGCTGCATAGGCAGTTGAGGTTAGGTGATCTACATCCCAACTAATAGATTGGATTTCATGTTTTCATTGTTTTCTTTATCCCGTTATATCTTGGGCCCATGGGGTTGTTTTTTCATTATGAATTTATGTGGTGGACATCTTTCTATGTCACAACTTTATTTATTTGGTGTTAGTTGTTGGACTACATTCACCACGTGTGCTGCCTTAAATCTCGCCACGTGGCATTTAAAAATAAATAACTGGGGTTTAGGTAAGGCCATGCACTAAAGTTTTTTTTTGGATATAGAATTAAATACATAAACAAGCGGTAAAAAGTGAGAATTACCATATGTTCCAAGGTAGAGATATTTGTTACCGAAAACCCGGCCAATTCGAGCCTCCCATCTTCCATTATGGTGGTGTCTGCACATTAGACAATTCACTTTACCTCTATGAAGTAAGTGGTACAAAATTTCCAATACAAGCATAGATTGTGACAGCCATCTCAATCTTTTGGCAACTCAGCATCTTTGCTTACATGTGTCTTTTTTTTAAATATTTTTTTGCTTACATCTAAATTTAATTATAAAATTTAAATATTGGTGTAAATATATACAATCTGCTGACATGATTGAATATGAAATTAATGAAAATTACCTTGCCACACCTCTGTATTTTGAAACTCCACGAGAAAATCCACTACTTTTCCTGTAAATTAATTAAAAAAATATTGATAAATAACAATTTAACATCTCTAATATTTATATCACCAGCAGAGGTACTGTTTTTTTTTATATCACCTCCTCAACGATCCAATGTATTCTTCTTTCGACTGGCTCTCCATTTCCTTGAGCTCTTCTGGGTAAGTGTCCAACTGCAATTAATTAATAATAATAATTTAGTAAAAATTAAGGTTAATTCCATGCTAATAACATTGATTAATGTAAAACTGGTTTTAATTAATCAAAGATCCACCAAATCCAATTTCAGAGAGGAAAAAAATTATACTGGGAAATTGAGGATTGTATCTTGTCCCCAGTACTTTAACGCTGCCAAGTCATAAGCACGTGCAGCAGCTTCTTCATCATCATATGCTCCTAACAAATGCAGTATCCCAATTAAATGATTCACTTCCTTGCCCAACCAATTTTTTTATTTTATTAAAAGATAAAATGAATTAAAGGGCAGTAAAATAAAGAAGAATTTTTATATATAATGGCTTTTCATTTCCATGAAGAGTTGTTTTCAAATGGGACATACCTAGATAAACTGCATTTGAGTTGGGATTAATTCCATCATCATCATCATCAACACAAGCAGAAAATTGACACCAGAAAAAATGTTAACCCCAATAGCTTAATTGTACCAAAAATGGAAGAAGCAAAAAGAAAACCAAGAGAAGAGATTAAGAACCTTGTCTTCCTTTCTTGTTTTGTGACTCATTCCAGCAATTCTTATCCCACAAATGAGCTTCATATCGGCCCGTCCATCGGTGCCTTAAACAAATATTCAACATTAATCACTCCAATATGTAAAAAGAGAAATGAGAAAGAACCCAACTCCAAAACAAGAAAAAACCAGAGAGAAAAGGCAAAAACTACAAACTTACTTAGTTTATGGATATATCCATGAATATGTATTATACAATTACCTTGTGACTCCGCGGTAGATGGAGCTCCGCTGAGGCGGAGAGTCACGGCGGACGCTTTTACGCGTCCGCTTGACTTTTGTTGTAGCAGTACTATTGGTGTTGTTGGTGTTGCTGTTGTTAGAGCTTGCAGTGTTCTTTTGGTTTTGCTGTGAGGTTTTCGCCATTAAACTCTCTCAGCCGAAGAGTCCAAAAGAACAAGGAGAGTAAGAGAGAAAGAGGAAAGAGAGAAGAGAGAAGAAGAGAGAGAGAGAGAGAGAGAGTGTTAGATGGGTGTGACTAGGGTATAATATAAGTGAGAAGGGTTTTGAAGGAATGATATAATATAATGGAGGGAGGGCAAATTGGGTTCGATTTTCTTTGGCCCAAAAAAAGAAAGAAGAGAAAAAGAAAAAAAAACAAAAAGGATTTGGTTTTGGAATTAATTTAGGGTTAAAGGGATGAGAAAATAGAAGGTGTTTGAGCCGGCTGATGAGAAGAGTCTTTTTGTGGCCGTCTCTAAGCGGCTTCTACCCATTTACCTCTTGTCCTCACTTGTTCTTTTGGGTGTTGTGAAAATTGATAGCACTTTCTCTCCATTTTGCCCTATTAATTATTTATACAAATCATGCAATTATATATATAGACTAGAAGGTTCATGAGTCATGAGCTTAATCACCCTGGATTAACTTATAAACTAACTCCCTTGAATTCTATCTCTTCTTGTTTGGGTGATTATCTTGTTTTTTCCTCCATCATTCTATATCGTCATCACCTATTTATTTATTTAATTTTTACTATTTTTTAAAATTATTATATATATTTTCCATGCGAAACTTTTGTACTGTTTGGTTATTCATATCCCTGGTACAGTTTTTGGGGAAAAAAAATCCCACCACTCTATTTTCATACTTATCTACACTGAGATTTTATTTTGGTTTTGTTTTATTTTATCTCTAAGAATTTATTTTGGCAGTGCCTACGATGATCTTGTTAAGAGATGCAATCAGTGGCGGCAAAAAATTATGACTACAGAAAGAAACTTCTCAACTGATTATAGCGCACGACATTAAACATTAATGACCTTATTAGAAGTAAAATTAAATTGAGCAGTACTCTTTTCTATTATATTATGCATTTACTAATACCTACAAAATGACATGGGTGCTGTTAAACGAACCCTCAAATTAACTGAGTACACTTTACTATCAAAGTATTTATTGAATTACTAATTTACTTTAATATAAAATGACCAAAAATGGTATATTAAATTGTGAAAAAAATCTAATTTTAATAAATACACCCTACTCACCATATTCAACTCTAATAAAACGTAAGCGAAAACCCTACGAAAATAGCAAATTAGCAATAGCAATGAATGGTTAGTATAATGCGAAAAGGTGTTGGAGGCATCAAAAGGAAAATATTGTCCATAATTGATAACTAAGACGTACAAGTTACTACTTTGTGTTTGTATCTTCTTCAGTGCCCCATTTTTTGGGCCTCAAAGATATAAAGAATGAAATCAATAAAGATCGAACAAGCAGGCAAACGAAAAAGGGTTAATTATTTTATTAGTCTTTGAACTTAGACCGATTTGCATTTGAGTTCCTCAATTTCCAAAATCGTTCCCGTGGTCCTTCAACTTCAGTTTCGTTAGGACAAATGGTCCTGCCGTCAATTTTGTTAACTTTTTTGTTAAATGCAGGGGCAAAATGATATTTTTTTATTAAATTGATTAAAATATGAATATAAAATTAAAATTAAACTCTCTCTCTCTCTCCCCCTCTATCCCGATTTCTACTCCCCCCAAACTTTAAATTTTTTTTTGGGTTGGTTTTTCATTTGATTTTCTTTTATTGTTATTTTAATGATATGATTTTTTTATTCATTTTTTTGTTTTAATATAAAAATACCATTTTGCCCCTGCATTTAACAGAAAAAGTTAACAAAATTGACGGCAAGACTATTTGTCCTAACGAAAGTGAAGTTAAAGGACCACGGGAACAATTTTAGAAATTAAGGGACTCAAATGCCAATCGGGTCTAAGTGCAGGGACTAATAAAACGATTAACCCAACATAAAAGTATGCTTCAACTAAATATTTATTTGTAATAGATTGTATAATATAATTATGGTATACAAACGTTGGAGATCAAAACTGCTGATCACCAAATACATGCTATGATTTTCAATTAACCAAATATTATTGAGAGAATTGCAATGGGTGAACAGGGATCTGGGAATTCAACTGCCAATATTGGAAGATGACGCAATCTTACCGCACTGCTTCACTATGATTTTCAGTCTCAAGACTCTTAATCATACATTACTGATATGAATGCAATGAGATATACGTAAGTCCTTCTACCTAGTATTCTTGGATAATGATTGAGGGATTCGACTTTCCAGGCACTGCAGAGTTTATCAGTGTGGTCCCCCCTTCGTGAACAACTGCAGCCAACTTTCGAATGGGTTTGGTGTTATGTGATAGAGTGTATTAGGAGTACCAATGATATTTTTGGTAGTTAAATAGGGTGTACTTAGTTAATTTTACATTTTGATTTAAATATTATGGTATACTTAGATCATAGAGTATACTCAGTTAATTTTAAGGTTCGTTTAACAACACCAATAACAAAGTACGTGGATTTCACATTACAACCCGTCATCCAATACTTGAGAAAACCAGGAATTAGATTGACTAGGGAGTGAAAGTTGATCCTGCACCATTCAGTATATTCCCATATGCCTAACTTCATCCATTCCAATTAAAATAAATATGTCGCTATTTGCTCAAGCACCAACTAGTTAGCAAGTTAAATACAATACTAAGTATTTGTTTGGGCCTGCTCTGTAATATAATCTCATGATTCACAAATAAAACTATATATATAGGGAGCTTCAATTGAGGAATTTCTCAAATAAGCTTATTTGAGAGACACCCTTGTAGGATTCACCACACTTTATTTTTTAATGATCTGAACCATCTAATTTTTAGATATTCCCTCAATGATCATCTCTGCAAAAAAATCACTTGAATCTGAAACCATTTGACCACTCAATTAGATGATTGTTATTTTAGTCTTTTCTTAAAACACCATGTTCGTCTATTTTGTTGCTTTCAATTAGATGCCTTAATTATTTTCAATTTGTTTGATTTTTTGCAAAGATGATCTATGAATGAAGACTTGAAAAGTTAGACAGTTTGGATCGTTGAAAAAAAATTGTAGAGTATCTTTAAAGGTGTCCCTCAATGGATATATATATATATATATATATATTATAGAAAATTAGATATAAACTCAAAATCATTACAGTTTGTTAGAAAAAAAACCCATCTATCATCTTCCAACTCTCCTCTATCACTTAGTTATTATTCAACCACAAAACTTGAATGTTGAAATTTTTTAAATGCTAGGGTATATATAAAATATTTTTTGTATTTTATTATTTGGTTGGGGTTGGGGTTGGGTTTGCACCTTAAAGCTTAACTGGTGAATTGTTTTTCTTTAATTGAAAAATAAATAAGAACAAGAAGAACATAGGATTTGCGTTCCTAAAGTAACATGGCATTACATAACAACCACACTTGAGTTGAGTTTGTCACCAAACAACCTAAAAATATTGAAAAAAAGGTAGGGCAAACCAATTTTTGAAAAAAAAGTCAAACTCCCTCAATGGGTGATCTCAGTAACTTGCAGGTTAATTAGATGGTCCATATGGTCCCATCCATGCTGTACATCTCCATGTTCATCAATTAATATGCAACAAAAAAGTGCTTTTAATTGGTGCACACTTCTTGGTGTGCCTCATTTTGTGGTTTATTTTTTATCTTCAACTGTCGACTGTACTGTGAGTTAAATGAATGAGAGTATTTTTGCTTATCACTTTAACCCAAGATGTACAATCATCACCCTTCTCAATACTTACGGTCCATAAGCATAACCATAGTTCCACAAATAAAAAGGAAAGAGTTAACTATGGTTATACTCATAAATACGTGTCATATAATGATGATAAGAATATACCTTAGATTAAAATGGTAAGCAAAAATGTTTCTGAAAAGGAAATAATCGTTAAACCACCAAATAGCTATAATTCTATCTCTGTATAAATTCAGCCAACAGTTATGGTTGTGCCAAAAGCAAAAGAAAGGACTTTGGTTGCCTTAAGCTCTAGCTGCTACTACGTTTAGGTTTGTTAGGTAAAATAGTACAAGAAAAATCAATACATTAATGTATCGGTCAACACTAACCACAACAAATCGTACTTGTAATTAATTAAAAGTTTACTTTTAAGATGAATGCCCATGGCTAGGAATGAGAGTCACTCATGAGTGTCGGTCTTGAGATTCTAGAAGCATGAAGCAACAAAATTTAAAAAAAAAAATGAAAAAGCCCTACATACAAATAATTCAACCGAAACAAAAAAATTAATTCTTGATTTTATGTTTAATATATATAGTTAAAGATACATCTAAAGTTTGGAAATCATGTGCGGTGGATCTACTTGCAACCTTCCGAGTATATATAAGAGTGACAATTAAATTGATCGTTAGACGCAAATTTAGTATGTGGCCGAGTAAAGTCGTTTAGTCACATAACAAAAGCATTTGTGATTGACATGAAAGTATTCTTCAAACCCTTTAATACAACTTATCATTTCTAAAGTGACCTTTGAAAGCTAAAGACACATGAATAACTTAAACCTTGTCCAAATATTATAATTTTCATAAACATACTAACTTGACACAAATGATTTCCTTTTTAATGATCCAGAAATTTTCACAAATAATTTTCCCTTTTAACTTGACACAAATAATTTTCATAAACATACTAAATATTAATGCCCAAATTTTTTTATTTTCTAAAGTGACCTTTTTTATATTTCCTTTTTAAAAAAAAATTTAATCCGGAATGAGTTAATTCATAAACAATATTGTATTCATAATTACTCTAATAAGCTTATGTATGCATATATTTTTTGTGTGAAACGAGCTTATGTATATATATTGAGTTTTATAAGATATCAAATATATATAAAAAAGCATAATAAATTTATTTTTCCAATTAACTGACATAATCTTTTTTTCCTAATCAAATACACAATATGAACATACTATAAAAAAATAATTTCGGGCATTAATTTACTGCTTGTTTTCTTTTTCTTTTTTTTTCCCTTTAAAGGGAAAATAAAGTATGCATGTAAAAATGGCCCAAACTCAATGGGCTAGCATGAATTCGATCTTAATTTTTGGGCTATGAGCTGGCTTAGCATAGCACATTGTGCAAAGGGTAAGACATGGGTCATGATTTGTAGGCCCATAGACAGCTTGATTCTCTAGCAGATCCAGAAATTTTTCAAGGGAGGTGTAGTATTTAAAAGGCAAAAAGATCAAAGAAAAATAAATTTAGACTACATATCCTTAGAATTTAAACAATAGTAATTCCCTTAGATTCATTGTGGGCAAAACCTCATGAAGAATAGTTTAGGGTTATCTACTGTAGACGTCCCTAAACTTGGCCCCCAGTTGCAATTGGGTTCATGATCTTTTTTTATTTATTTAGGCAATTACATCCTTTAACTAGACAATCAGTTGCAATTAGGTCCTGCCATCCAACTCTGTCAAATTATCTGTCAAAATAAGGGGTAAAAGCATCCTTTCAAGTATGAAGACTCTCCTTCGAGTCTGAACACTCTCCTTCGCTTCATAACTTAACTTGGCTCTTATTCATATGAGGAATCCCCAAATGAAGAACTGAAGAACTAAAAGGGGGTTGCGAGGGAAGGAAAAATGTCGGAGAGTTCGACAAATTCAAATTGCAGCCGTCGTTACTGTGAGTGTGGGTCAGAAATCAAACGCCGGACTTCATGAACATATCTGAATCCTGGAAGAAGATTTGAGGCATGTTGCAATAATCGGGTAAGTTTTTGTATTTGTAGAATGGTTGAAGCAAAAAAATATTTTGTTAGGTCTGAAATTGGTGTTTCGTTTTGTTTCAATTGCAGAACAATAAAAAGGGGTTGCATTTTTTCGCATGGGTGGAGAATGAAACATGCCCACTAGTAAAGGAAATCTTGCTTGGGTTACTTAGAAGACTAAGTGGAATGGAGGACGAATTGAGAGCAACGGCGGAGAATTTTAGATTGACGGAAGAAGAGAAGAATATATTAGAGCAAAAACTAAGAGAAGAGGAAGAAGAAATCAAGATTTTGAAAAAACAGAATTCTGGGAATGGGTAAGCAAGTTGTTGTACTAGAAGGGGAAATTTTGAGTTATCGACAAAGACAAAGGTGGTTCTGAGTTGTTGTTCTGTTGTGTTTTATGTTTGTGATATTGTTAATCAATATGGATGATTTGGTAGTGTAGAAATGGACAGGAAATGGGCATAATGTTTTATATACTCTTCAAGAGCTTTTGATGGCATGGGCATAGTTTAGAAATGGGCAGGAATTGGTAGTATGGGCAAGATATGGGAAGAAATTGCTAGTGTAGAAATCTGCGCATAAGATTATTTTGTGCCTCTTTGGCAATGTATAAAACCTTTTGCTATATAAGGTCATTTTGTGCTAAATTGTTAGTGTACAAAACCTTTTGGTATATAAGTCGATTTTGTGCTGAATTGGCAGTGTATACCAATTGAACATGAGCAATCCAACATTTACCAATTAACATTCACCAAAATACAATCCAAAATACACCTGAACATTACATAATCCAACTCCAAAAGAGCCTCCAAAATAACATTACCAAATAGCATACTTGACAGTCTATAATTGTCCACCCAAAATACACATCCACATAGTACTTAAGAGTCCAAAATAGGTCTTAAAAGTCCACAAAATAGGCCTTCACAGTCTATATTTGTCCTCATATTTTGACACTGTGTTTGAATATTCCTCTACAGGGTGTGGTTTCTTGAGTAAATGAAGAGGATGGTGGTTGCAAGGGCACTTGTTGTGAGTATGTCATTGGCAGATTGGCCCTTCCTTGATTGATGCCACTTACCATCTAAGATTAAAAACACAAAGAACATATATTACTATATAGGCAAACATAAAAACCCTGAGTTGGGCAAGAATAATAGGCAACTAACTGGTTGTAAAGATGACACCCTTGCCGCTTGATTCCATGCGCCTTTTCCTCTTCCTCTTCCCTTACCTGTTTCTCTGGCCCTATTAACTTGAATTTGGGCTGAGGCAATGTAAGTTTGAGTTGGGGTAACATTAGTTTGGGCTAGGGCAGTATTAGTTTGGGCAGGGGTAGCATTAGTTTGGGGTGGGGCAATATAATTTTGGCCTGCATTTCCATTGTCAACTGCTTCAATTCGATTTTGGCATGCATTTCCATTTTGGGCAGCCTCAGCTTGGACAACATACAAGCACAACTATAAAAAACCACAACCCAAATAATTAAAATGCATAACAAAACCCAAAAAATTAAAGAACCTGTCTTCCACATCCTCTTCGATTGTGGCATTCTTTTCCACATGCTCCACATCTAATTTAATAAAGAGTCTTCTAAGTTTTACTGGTGGAGCAGTGTAACCTAGAGGCAAAGGGTTTGGTGGGTTTAGGGCCGGTACTTGAACCTCACCAGGCTCCTTTGTCCTCACTCTCTTGGGTCTTCCTGGTTGTCCACTATGAAATGAAGGTCTAATTGGAGGCAAGCCACCCTTAACTCACTGATCCATAGAAGGGATGTGGTGAACTATTGGTTTATATGACCTCATGTATGTCTCTAGCTTATAACACTCATCTACATATTGAATAGAGTTTTTAACTCTGTGGAATCTAGATGAAATAGCATGTGCACAGGGTATGCCACATAAATCTCATCTCCTATAACTACAAGAGATTGCTTTTAGATCTATAACAAACTCCCCGCCATATGTGACTGACTTGATACATTTTCTCCCCAGCCAATCTAGGAATGCATTGAGAGACTCCCATCTTGTTCTTCTCAATTATTTTGAATATCCTCGGGCCAACAGGGTGTTTCCATTTTCTACAAGCAACCCTTTGATTAGCCATCCTAAGCATCACATACATTCTAATACTTTCCAAAATGTCAAAATGGAATTATCTTTGGTATCAATTATAGCTGCATTAAAGCTCTCACAAAGGTTGTTCAACAGAAGATCACTCTTGTACTTTAGATGAAAGTGAGATCTGGTCCAATTTTTGGGTGGTCTCTGCACCAACCATTTCCAAGCTTCAAAGTCCTCTTCCTTCATCTTCTCCATTTCTGCTTCCCAACAAGGAATAGTAGTGGCTCTGGTAGCTGCCTACAACATGTGTTTAAGGGTGAGACCAATATATGTTGCTCTGAAGTTATTGTACAAGTGTATGACGCACATCCTATGCTCTGCAGTTGGTAGTACATGTGCAATGGCAGGTATGAGGCCCTTTTGCTTATTACTTATGAAAACCCAGGATAAACCATTTGTAATACCTATGCAATTAGCCACAACATATGCAATTAGGAAAAGACCATTACTACTATTAACTCCTGTAGTAGTCAATATTTGCCCAGGATAAGGACCTTTCAAATAGCAAGCATCAACCCCAATAACAGGCCTGCACCCTTCTAAAAACCTTTTTTTTCTAAGCAGCCAGACACGCATAATTCCTTTGAAATATTGCTTCACCCCCAACCAGATCACACTTAATTTTCGTTGTACTACCCACGTTGGTATTCTTCAACTGCTCTGCATAGTCTCATAACCGTGCATACTGCTGTATGTAGTTTTCTTCAATTTGTGCTTTAGCCAATCTCTTTGCTCTATACACTTGAGTTTTGGGCACCCTCACATGATAGGACGACAAAACTTCTCCTTGAAATGCTTTCATATTCCAATATGTGTTTCTCTTAATCTTGCTAGAAAATTTGTCACAAATCCATTTGAGATTAGCAAACTACAGCTTGTCCACCCTCCCACATGTATGTTCCAAGCTCAACTTCTTAATTGCAAATGTTTGTACATCCTGGTTTATCTGTGAAGCATAAACCTCAAATGGACATTTTAATCCTCCTTTACAAATTGCCTTTACTATCGTCTTGTCTTTTTTTTTCCAAAGTACACCCACCTTCCTTGAATAATGGAATATTCCTTCAGTGCCTCTTTAAGAACCTGTCTGTTTTCAAATTGCATCCCAAGCCGAAGCTTAGGATTCTTTAAGTCCACCTTCTTCCGATACTGCTTAAACCGAGGCATTATTTTTTTCCTTCTCACCTTACTTGTCCATTCATTATCCCCTTTCATATCATCCCCATCACCTTCACTTTGAGTATCAAAATCTAAGGTGTACTCACCGTCTAATAACACCTCTCCAAGAGCCTCAAAAGTGGGCCCCTTCATGAACAGGCACTTCAATTGTCTTCAACCCAAATTCTTCTTCACTGAACTCGTAATCACTATCAACAAATTCTCCATCATCTTCTTCACTGTCTACAACCTCAGCTTCATCTTTATCTTGCACATCAACATTATCTTGCACCTCAATTTTATCTTCCACCTAACTTTTGTCTTGCACCTCAATTTCATCTTCCACCTGAACATTGTGTTGCACCTCTGCATAATTGTCTGCGCCATCCAAACCTTGGCACCCAAAAGATGCTTGACTCTAAACTATATTAGAATTGTCCATTTTAGTATAATACAACACAACAATCCTATTACATGGCATTTGGGCCAACATGTCAACCAGTTTAGCATCAGAGCTGATAAGTTCAAGCTCACCTACACCATGGGTTCCACCCTTCCTATACCATATTTCCATATTTGGTTTGGGGTTCGAAATGTCTACATTGTAACCAAGCCCTTTCCCTACCTTTCTTAAGTCCACCAATGACAGAAAATCATCTATAACATTATCCATGTAACAAACTTTTCCATTTTTATACTCCCCCTTTTCCAATACACCCTTATGGTGAAGTTCTAAAGTACAGTTTTCTTGGTTACTTGCACATTAAACAAGGGTCAAAACTATGCTAAAATACACACACCTGTTTTGGAATCATAAAATTAGACAAAACCATGTTCTAATTCAATGTTGTGCACCAAAACCAAAATATACAGTACACAGTTCGACGAGTTTTTTTAAATTGCTATGGAATAACTTCAGTCGATTTGGTGTGAGTCATAGAAGACAAGAAGGGATAAAAAAAAACTCTAAGTGTTGCAATCAATGACAGTATAAAGCAAAGCGTGCAAGGAATCTTAAAAAGCTATGGACCACAAAGATGAAAACAAAACCAACTGATATGTATTCAAAAAAGCAGAATCACTTACTGTATTTAGGAGCAACACCACCCCAACGAAGTCAAACTCTTCCATCACTATCAGCCAAAATGATGAAAAACCCAACTATCCCCAAAGTGAAACCCTAACCCTTAATTGTACTCTTAATCAACCCCAAATTTCGAAGCTTACACACAAAATTTCTCACTCACTCAGTCACTGCTACAACAAATTGAACTCCAATGGCTGCCTTAAAAAGGTCGGTTCACAGTATGCAACTCCAATGGCTGCTTCAAATGGCCGGTTCGCATGCTTTCCCCCTTTCTCCAGTGCTAAATTGGATTTTGTTTCGTTCAAAATGATGAAAAGTCTAATATACCCCTCACAACAAGAGCTCATGCCACTCACACTGTCAAACTTGACAGATTTTGTTACGGCAGGACCTAATTGCAACTGATTGTCCAGTTAAATAATTGCCTAATTAAAACAAAAAAAAAAAAAAAAAAAAAAAAAAAAAAAAAATCACAAACAATGCAACTAGGGGCCAAGTTCAAGGACGTTCTACCGTAGATAACCCAATAGTTTAATAAAGAAACTTAGCCTATTGGGTGGGCTATATTTATAAATATTATTTTTTATTTGTAGGCTGATGTTTATTTGAGCCCATAAAAATAGTTTAATAAAGAAACTTAGCCCATTATCTCTATCGTTTTCCCTAGAATCCTCTAACATGGAGCCCATATATTGGACATGAAACTTAGCGTGTCACTAAATAAACCAAACGCTATTTATCATATGTTAGGGCAACAATACACGCTCATCTTCTTCACTAGAGACACAACCGCCTTCGTCCCTCAGCTCATCTTCTTCATAAATTGCTAAGACTAACATAGGGGCAAGTTCAGGAATCCAACAGATTTTCTGACAAGGGGAGGTGCATATGCATCTCATTGAGCCTTTTTGGGTCAGCCATTATCGATATTTAAGTTATTAAATAATATTTTTATAAAAGTTTACTAATATTAACTATGCTACTTAATTAAAAGATTTAAAAGAAAATTATTATGCGCCAAATTCACTAAAAGAACAATTAAGTTAAACTCATTACATTGCTCAATTGGAACTACCAGGAGCTGCAAAGGTTACCAAATCAAACTCTCTCAAACCTGAGACAAACATTTCCATTTCCACATAGTGTTTTCAATAGTACAACATTAAAACCTAAAGTCTTCCAATAACAAATAGATCTTATACAGAGCATCTAACACATCACAATTGAACCAACTTATACTCCGAGCTAATATGAAACGAAAGGGAAAAGGATGAGCTACAAAGCTCAGTAAGCAACTATATATGGCCACAAGTGTGAGGATTACAACAATACAATATTTGAAAGTGAAATTGAAAAGAGTACACAAAATGAAACTGAACAATTCAAGGACTGAAATACGATTCATAGTCAAAATCAGAGAAACAATAACAATGAGATAGCTTCTATAAATCCTCATTAGGGCTTCCAATGAGGCCTTACTCCCATGGTAGTTGCATGGGCCTTATTACCAACTAGTCAGAGGTCCTGACTCATTCAAAAGAAAGCACGAACATTGTAATTCAGATGGTCTTAATTAATCAAAAGTTCAGATGCTATTCAATGTTCAATTATGAGTTCCTTTACAATCAAATGAAGGCAAACATATCTGAACTGGGGATTAAATAAGGCTTTCATATCACAAAGATCAAATAGACATATGAATGGGAGTTTAATACCAAGGCAGTTCAGAGGCTTATATTGGTGGAAGGAACAAAGTTAAAATCACAATAGAAACTTACTCGATTCAATAGCCTAAAACTATAATCTCTAAATCACTTCAATCCCTTCTTAAAGGAGAAAGTAAGCCTAGAGCTACTTTACTTCAGTTCTTCATTTTTTAGCAGCCTTGAGTTATGTTCTTTTACTAAACTATGAAATTTGTAGAGACAAGCAGCAAGTCCTTGCGACTTATTCTTCTCCTCTTCCCACTGCTCCCTTGCAACCCTTTGTTTCCTTCTTCCTTCTCCACATCATATGGTGGGCCAACTTCAACAAGATTTTAGTTTTGTTGAATATGCTATGCTATCTTGGTGGTGGATGTCATTTTGTTTGGGCGAATGTTAATTTGGGGTGTGCTTTGGCCATTAAAGAGGATGTCAAGGTCTGGCTTTCTCAATTAATAAGAAGTTGGGTTTGGATTTGGGGTTGCATGGCTATGTTCATTTGAAGAGAGCGAAAGTTGTAAAAAAATATTGTATAAATTGAAGGAAATAGGAAAAGTCAAAATATTTAATGAGGGTAAATTTAGAAAACAAAAGTTAGCTTGTATGACGTATTAATGACATTGTTTTAAGTGTAAGAAAAGTGAGACATATCATGAGGAAAACGAAGAAGGTCCAAAAGAGAAGGTTAGAAAAAAAGGTTACTAGCATCCCCCTAATTGATAAGGCCATATGGGTCCAACCCATTTGCCCCTCATTAGCATGAAAGTTTTTGGCCCTTAAGGCATGTCCAACCCATGGGGCCAAACCCAAAATATCCCAAATTTTAGTCCAATCTCTCAAACTAAAAAAATGAAGGGGCCAAAATTTGGGAAAACTCAAACTTAGGGCCAAATAACAGTCTAGGTATTGCCTGGACCCAAATTTTTTTTTGGTAAAGCTCACTGAAGTTGACGTAGCCCATGTGCAAGGAATCTGATGGCCCCGGATGTTGATGTGCTACTACTTTGTGGCTACTACTACCTTGCCACTTGTTAATTCCTGGTGTTGTTGCCGTTGGAATCCAACAGCAACAATTCAAACATCGTTGATATATATATATATATATATATATATATATATTCTAATAGTAACCTAAATCAATAATCTAGATTAAATCCAAGCTATTTTAAAGGCAAAAAAGAAAAAAAAAGAAAAAGATCCAATGATTGAAATTTAAATCCAACAGTAAAAATAATATTTTAAATTAATCTAGATCAGCCCCTAAAGTGAAACGATATAAATGAGCCTCCCACACAACGTTCTTCTAGAGCTGGTGCAAGTATGGTGAATTTGGATAATTATGTAAATGATATCACCATGCCTAGTCCAAGGCATGAGGGGTGAGATAAACAAAAGGCTGCTAGAAAAAAAGGGAAGATGGTTGACCCTTCTCAACAAATAAGGGATAAGTACTTGGAATCATTGGTTGAGCAAGACATTGCTTTTGAAAAGGATAGGAGACGAAAGCTCAACATATTGGACAAGTTTGTCCAAGATCAAGCTGATGCTTATGCATATAAGAAAAGAAGAATTATTTGGAGGATAAACAGGAAATAATGTCCATGGACGTGTCTAAATTTACTCCAAAAAAGAAGAAGTATTGGGTGGGCGGGTGGGCGGGTGGGGGGTTGGGATAAACAAGTAAAAATTATGCAAGAACATGCACAGAGTCAACAGTTTGTCATTAATCTTAAAGACAACTCAAGGGACTATTATCCAAGCCCCCATGAGGGTGGTTATTAGTTTATTCCTATTGAGTTTCATGTATGGTCATTTTGAAGTATTGTGTGTTTTCTTTTAGAAATTATGTTATCTGTTTTCTTTTGGAATAAAATTATATTTGTGGAATTTCAATATTTTCGGCCAAATTGTAAATATAAAAAAAAAATTAAATTAAATTATTTTAAAAAAAAAATTAAAAAAGATGATGAATGAAAAGAAAAGATCCATAACAAAACAAAAAAAAAAAAAAAAAAAAAAAAAAAAAAAAAAAAAAAAAAAAAAAATATAATAAATTTAAACTATTTATTTTTTATTTATTTAAATTAAGCGAGACTTAAAATTAGAGAGTTCGAGAAGGTTGGGAAAAAACGGTTTGAGTCCAGGGCAAAAAACCCAGATAGTTTAACTTTTTGGAGGGGAAAAATTTGGGTTTAACCCCAAATGGGTTGGAGAAGGCCTAAGGTAGGGCATGGGCTGAACATATTTAATATAGGTTTGACAGGGCCTAGTCTTGCCCATTCAATCCATAGGGCCAAAAAAGCCTGTGATTGGGTAGGGCTTGTGGTAACCCATCTTAGGGTTGAGTTGGCCCGATCTAGCCCATTTTACAGACCTACAAAGTTTTGTCACATCCGAGAAAAACTTATCAATATAGTAGCTCATAAATCCTAGCTCCTATAATATTCTCCTCACTTTGCATTGTTCCTCTTAGGGATCATAATTTGAATTGCGTCTCATAGGCCGAATGGTAGCCCAAGGCCCAATGGGCCAAAGCATGATCCTGCCCAATATTTAGTCCCGATTAGCACTGGCTCGCCAAGCTAGTCTAGGCATGGCTCAATGGGTGGGCTCGGGCCCTCACCTTTGAAACCTCAACAAGGCTTGAAAAATAAAGAAAGCCCGAGAAGCCCATGCCCACCAAAAATTTTAGGCCGTGCGAATGATGAACCCTAGTTTCTCTTCACCATAATATCTAACTCATTGTCCTTATCCATCACAATTTCATTCTCCTTACTCCTCTCT